GAGAGAGAGAGAGAGAGAGAGAGAGAGAGAGAGAGAGAGAGGAGTGTCCAGCCCCAAATGTCAATACTTCTGAAGCTGAAGGACCACAGTAAAAAAACAAATCGGCAGAGTGGTTTGCACTTCTTATTCTGCCACGATGAGTCTCACCATCTCCTGGGTCCTATTTCCATAGAACACTGACACTCAGTGCTAACTAACTCTTCAGGTCAGATGCTTGGAAACCATAGCAAAATACTGAGGAGCAGCCATGAACCAGAGCAATGACTGACTTCAATAAATTAACCTAGGCTTCACCCAGGCTTCTTCCTACTCTACTGTAAACCACAAAATGTACTAGAACACAGTCTGTGTTTTAATTACACTTTCAGAGCATATAACAGTTCCATGAATTAAGGAGCAGTAAAATGAAATTGATTTTTCCATACATGCAGAAAGATGTGGGGCCTAATGTGTATTATAATTAGAGCTGCTGAGATCCATTGCGGAACATTTTTTAAAGATAACAAAGTCTTCAATTGCACCAAACTGATAACCTTTCCTGTTTTTTGTTTGTTTGTTTGTCTGTCTGTCTGTCTGTTTCTTGTTTTTATGATGGAATAATTAAAACATCTTTCTAAGTCCTAGTTTTGGTAAGTTGCTAAAGCCAGAAGTAATAAACCTGGTCCTGAAGGAGATTTTTTTGACACTTTGATGCAAAAGAAAAGTGACCTTAGTGGCTTCTGTCCACAGTGTTTCTCAACAGATGTCCTCAGATTTCTGATGGGAGATGTACATCAGAGATGCAGATGCATCCAAATGTTTCAGAGCCAGCCAATGAGAAACAAAAGTCAAAAAACATTGGTTCCGGCACGGCTGACAGAGGACTGATCTCCACAGTATATAAAGAACTCAAGAAACTAGACATCAAAATGCTGAACAATCCAATTAAAAAATGGGCTAAAGAACTAAACAGAGAATTCACAAAAGAAGAATCACAAATGGCTGAAAGACATTTAAAGAAATGCTCAACATCCTTAATCATCAGAGAAATGCAAATCAAAACGACTCTGAGATACCACCTTACACCTGTCAGAATGGCTATGATCAAAAACACTAATGACAGTCAATGTTGGAGAGGATGTGGAGCAAAGGGAACACTCCTCCACTGTTGGTGGGAATGCAGACTTGTACAACCACTGTGGAAATCAGTATGGCTGTTTCTCAGAAAATTGGGAATCGAACTACCTCAAGACCCAGCCATACCACTCTTGGGCATATACCCAAGGAATGCTCAATCATACCACAAAGATACATGCTCATCTATGTCCATTGCAGCTTTATTTGTAATAGCCAGAACCTGGAAGCAACCTAGATGCCCGTCAACTGAAGAATGGATTAAGAAAATGTGGTACATACACACAATGGAGTACTACTCAGCAGAGAAAAACAATGACAGCATGAAATTTGCAGGCAAATGGATGGAACTATAAAAAATCATCCTGAGTGAGGTAACCCAAACCCAGAAGGACAAACATAGTATGTTCTCACTCATAAGTGGATTCTAGATATAAAGCAAAGGACAGTCAGACTGCAACCCACAGAATCATGGAGGCTATATATATAGAAGGGGGGACCCTAGGATGACTATGGCTTATAATAAGTTTTGGTTTTACTCAATTCTGAGCAAGCCTCAATGAAACATTTCACTATTAAGATAAGAATTTATACTGTATCAAGCTGATAATAGATAAATAAATAAATAAATAAATAAATAAATAAATAAATAAATAAATAAATAATAAAGCAAGCATTGGTTCCTTTCCCCGGCTTTGACTCTAACATTGGGAAGAAGCATGTGCAAAGGGTACTTGGGACTTTCAGACAGTTTTGGGTGTGACAGACAGGGCAGTGCTCTTTCCATGAGAAGGCTGGTGAGATCCAGGGCAGAGCTGGCACTAACCTTCACTTCTGTGTTAACAGTGTTCTTGGCACGTGGCACCCTCCCTGTCTGCCTGAGACATCACACCATGGGACTCATCATCCAAAGAGATCCCTGGAGGCCTGGGCCAGGCTTCTGACTTCCCCCAACTTCTCTCCCTCCTTTTGGATGCACAGTTGACATTTATGTGCACTTAGAGTTCAACATTCTTTTTCTTCCCTCCCCACACAGAGCTGTTGAAAGGAAAATCTTGTGACTCCAGGCACTCTGCGGCTGAGTTAGGACTTCTGGTTTTTGGCCCAGATTGAGGAATGGAAGACTCAGCTTCTCACGCATAAGAAATCGGGCTACAGGAAGAGTGCTGGGTGGGGGGGTGTCTGGGTGCTCAGGTGCTGGGCTCTTAGTCCTGGCCTAGAACTCAAGGCAATGAGCATATTCTACGCAGCCACCCCACAACAGCTGCCCAACTGAAACCTGTTTTTAATAAGCTTGGAATCAGAAAGCCAATCTTGTTTTTGAATCTGAGCTGGGAATTCCCCGAGGACAAGACAGGACTGAGGGTGTCATAATCAATTCTAAGTCACAGCTTCTAGCACAGGGCCCAGAGCATAGCGGATGAACACAAAAACATGTTTTCAGGGGACAAGTGGCAGGCTGAGTGCCTCTTACACAATTAACTGCTGCTAGCTTTCACTTAGGGTGTTGGCAATGGTCTTGGTGTGGGCTGACTACACCCTTCCTGTTAGTCCCAGGCATGCACTGTGGGATCCAGGAACCTGAAATACCTGTAAAAGGTGGAATTGGTCGATCCAGGCCTTGAAGGACTCATTTAGCACGCTCACCACATCATCATATCTATGGGTCTCTGTGTGTTAGCCATCATTCTTTGGTCAGTTGCCAATGTGGAAAGAGTGGTTCATGCCCGAGTCATGGTGACAGGCATCCTAACCTGCTTTCTCTTGCTCTGATAAGACACTGGCCAAAACTAACTTGGGGGAGGAGAGGGTTTGAGGAAAGCTGGGGCAAGAATTCAAGCAGGATCCTGGAGGCAGGAACTGGAGCAGAGGTCATAGATAAACACTGAGTATTGGCTTGCTCCCAGTCTCACGTTCAGCTGTCTTTCTTACACAGCCCAGGCCCAACTGACTAAGGATGGCGTCACCCATCCTAGACTGGCCTTTCCTACATTAACTATCAATTAAGAAGATATCCCATAGACGTGCCCACAGGCCAAATGATAAAAGTACTTCCTCGGTTAAGGTTCCCTCTTCCCAGGTGTGTCCTCTTGATAACCAAGGTTAGTCGTACAGAGGTTGTCTTTGGGGTTTAGAGGATGGCCACTATGTCAAGTGGAATCCCAGCTGAGTTTGAAAAGGAGCTGCAGATGATGCCTCATGCTGTTTCCTAAACAAGTGAATGTTGACTGAAGAGCTATCCACTAAGTTTTCTGTATACCAAAGCATCCCAAAGTTCAGGGGCCCAAAGCCCTGGCTCCTTGGCCAATTGGGTGGCATATTTCAGCTAGGCTGGATAGGGGAACTTTGCTCCATGACTGACTCTTCCTCCTGGAATCGATGGGCCATGTGGGCTGTTTCTTCTTACATAAAAGAATAGGTGTGTCCTGTGTCTGTTGCTGACTGATATCTAAGATCCACTGGTGCTCTGTCCATGGGGGCAGCAGACAGGAGGGAAAGAATGGGTGTGTCTAAGGATCCACCATCCCAAACATATGCCAGACCCTCTGCATCCGCTCTCTTCCCTGCAAACATTACACACTGATCCCTCTGCTGTACAAATGGATGAATAAACAACAATCATAAGGACAAATAGCTGAGAAAGATCTCACAAAGGCTTAAAGTAATACTGTCTGTGATGAGCCATTTGGTTATAAGCACATGTCTAAGCTTGCAACCCTGTTCTTTGGAAGGAGAGGGACCATGGATCTTGGGAAATCTCTAAGTCTAATGATAACCTTGTTTTCTCTCTCTGGATGTCCACAAGGACATAAACACAATAACCAGTGTGTAGTTTCAGGAGACTCAAGGGCTGAGAAGCCCACCTGTGGACTCTGTGTCTTTAATCTTAGGAGTTGAACAGCTCTGTCCTGACACAGCCTCCCACCATGATGTTCTGCCTCTCAATGGGCTGAGAAATAGTAGAGCCAGTCACTGACCAAGATCTGTGAAACGGAGTCAAAAGAAACCCTTCCTCCCTCAAGTTGTTGTCTCTCACGCGCTTACCACAGAGATGCAGAAGCAGACTAATACAGACCGGAAGCATCAAAGAGCTAAGAAATGTGTTTAACTATCAGCCACATCATTACTATTTTATTATTACTAAACTATCACAGTCCCAGGCTGGGGATGCGGCTCAAATAGAAGAATACCCAGCATGCACAGGACCATGTGTTCCATTCCAGCACCACATAAAATCATTTATGGTATTATGTACTTGTGATACTAGCACTTGGGAGATAGAGGCAAGAAGATTGGCTATATAGCAAGTTCAAGGCTAGCCTGGGATACATGAAATCCTGTCTCAAAAAAAATCACACTATAGAAGGAAGGAGGGAAGGAAGGAAGGAAGGAAGGAAGGAAGGAAGGAAGGAAGGAAGGAAGGAAAGAAGGAAGGAAGGAAAGAAGGAAGGAAGGAAGGAAGGTGAAAGATGGGGAGAAAATGAGAAATTACCACCATCTACATGTAGATCAAAATGGCAGTTCATGTAGGTCTAAGAGCAGATGGTCTCAGTTCCTCTGTGTAGAAGGACAGAGGAAACAAGTTAGGCCCCAGTTATCACAAGGGCCTATGGAGAGCAAGTTGATCTCAAATTCCCTTGAAAGTCCAGTCTACTAACAACTCACCTTAAGAGACCCCTGGTTGCTGATACCAAAAAGGGCTTTATTATTCCAAATAGTATAACTTTTATTGTTGTTGTTGTTATTATTATTATTATTAACAAGACACCAACAAAAGACCTAATAATATCTTTGAAGGTATGAGAGTCCTCCAAAGGAAAATCTTTGGGATAAGGCAAGATGCTTATAAAAGAGAAGGGCACTGTTTCAAAGCCATGTAAGGTAACATGACTGAGGATCCAGATGATATCATCGAAGCTAAAGCTGAAGGTGTCTTGGATCATGTCTTGTGGAGTCTCTGAAGAACAAGAGGGAGGAAAAGGAATGGGAAGAAGTAGGGGAAAGATTCTAGAATTACAGAGCTAGCCTGGCCTAGAGAAGTGGGGGAACAAGAGATGACATGCACACCAGATCTAGAGAAAGAACAGGATACTGATGGGAGGAGGTGACGTCTGAAACTTTTCCTTGGGAACAAATGCACTTGATTTCAACACTGAGGTAATCCAACTTCACTGTGTATGTATGATGGCTAGAGAGTGGGGGCTTGACTGTCATAAGAACTGGCTATTCCAGCATGGTCAAGACCATGCACTGAAGAGTAAACAGCCTGTGAAGTCCCGCAGAAGTAGAACGACAGCTTCTCTCGCCTCCCTTGGCTTCATGACCTCAGGCAAGTTGCTTCACGTCTCTGAGACTCAGTTGTAGAGGACAGTGGGTTGTAACCATGCCGTCTCAGAGCTGCAATGAAAACATTGATCTGAGCTGCAGAAAGCAGCCTGGCTGCATGCAACCTACCACAGCAATCACTCAGTACAAAATGTTGACTGCCATTCTTAGGTACTGAGCCTAGTGTGTTAGCCAAATGATTCTAGCTAAAATGGCTAATTTGTATTAAGAGGAGAGTTGCCTTATGTAAATGAAATATCGAAGGAAAACGAGTTTCAAGCATTTAAGTTTAAAAGCTGTACAATTTCACATCTATTTCCCCATCTATCTGTCTGCTAACCTCAATCTCTCTTCCTTCTGTCCCTTCTTCACCTCTCTCCCCATCTTTTTTCTTCCTTCGCCATCTCTTTTTGCCTACTTCCTCATTTCCTTCTGCATATAGCTCAAATTCTTTTTTGTCTCTGCATCTGTCCACACCAACCCTTTTACCTCTTTCCATCTTTCTTTCTCCATTTATCTGCATCCATCTCCTGATAGCTGTCTCTTCTTCCCTCCCTTCCCCTTCTGTCCACCCATCCTTTATTCCTTTTCTCTCTCTTTCCATTGCTAGGTTTGGATTTCTGGTATGGGCCTTTTTTCTTTTAAATCAGGCAAAGTTTTTCTCTGCAGCAGTACAGATGACCCCTGCCATGTTCAGACATAACTAGTCCATAATGTTGTAAACTCTCAAAGCTTTACTTTTTACATCGTAGCTAACAGTAGACTCTCCTGAAAGAGTCAAATCATCCAAGAAGCACTTTATGGTAATGGCCCATTTCCAGTTCAGTTTCCTCCTCCAGAGTCACCACTTTCAACCTTTTAAAGCTGATTGTCTCTGTATTTATCTCTGAATACATAGTGTGCTTTGAATTTTCATTTTCAACATTATATCTTGAGTTCCCTCTACAGAAATTAGTTGATCCACTTTACCAGACACATGATCACGCGAGAAATAACTTTCAGTGTAGTTAAGTCGCTTTTGGGTTAGAAGCCCCTTGGTAATAACATCATTATAATTGGGCACATTTCCTCCTAGTTGAGTCAAGTAGTAGTTAGCTTACTATTTTCCTTCACATGTGGCATCATTTTCCCTGGAGTGAGGATCTCTCTCTTTTTCTTTTGTTTAGTTTTCTTTAGACTCATCACTAACTCAATCTCCAATTTTCCAGTGGTCTAATTCTCCTTACAAGGCATTTTGTCATTCTTTGACTTTTATCCTCTTGCAGAAGCCTCCTTCAGAGCCTTCTATCCTTCCCCAATATGACTGTGGTCCTCCAGGTCTTTTTACAGATACAACTGGGGACATGCACATCAGATCTAGAGAAAGGACAGGGTATTGATAGAGGGAGGGGACATCTGGAATTTTTTATTGGGATAAATGCACTTGATTTCAACACTGAGATAATCAAACTTCAGTGTGTTGTGTATGTTGTCTAGGAAGTGAGGGCTTGACTGTCATAAGTACTGGCTATTTCAGCCATGATCAAAGCCATGCATGGAAGAGTCGACAGCCTGTGAAGTCTCACAGAAGTGGAGAGTGGAGTGGCAGCTTCTTTCTCCTCCACTGGCTTCATGACCTTGGGCAAGTTGGTTAATGTCTCGGAGACTCAGTTGTAGAACACAGTGGGTTGTAACCATGCCGTCCCAGAGCTGCAATGAAGACATTGATCTGAACTGCAGAGAGCAATCGGGGTACATGCAACCTACCACAGCAAGCACTCAGTACAAAGTGTTGATTTTCAAAGCTGGCTCTTGACTGCCATCTGGGAATTTCCTTCATCTCCTTGCTTCACCTCTCGACTGTGTCCTTCATCTTCTTCTTCATAGTTTTGTGCACTTTAGTGGAACAGATCCTGAAGTAGCTTTCTAAGAAAGTGTTTACAGGAAGTATTGTTTTGATAACTTAAACATATGAAAATATTATCATAGCCTTACAGTTAATGAAGAGGAATAAAGTCTGGTTATTTCTCAATTATTGGACTCCAATAATTGGAAACAACAGTTGGAAATCCTACCAGAACTTTGAAAGCATTGTTTCACTGACCTCTACATTCTGTGTGTTGTTTTTGAGATGTTCAAAAGTATTCATGAGTTGAGTTTTTGTAGATATTTAGAAGCTAATTGAACCCAATTTTCTGGTGGTATGCTTTGGGACTGGCTGAGTTTTACTCATTGTGTTAGACAATGCCGAGTCCTTTCCACCTGGAAAGTTTTGGGAGAAGTGATATTTCATCTATGGTTCTCTGCCTTCTCATTCTTTCTGCTCTCTTTACTAGAATTTCCATCATGTCTGTGTGGAATCACACTGATCTTATTCTTTCAGCACCACACACTTTCTCCTTTGTCTTTTTAAATCTAATGTCTGGAAGATTTAGTTAACCTTCGTTTTCAATACTTGTAAGTTTTCTTTTGTTTTAATTTTTATTAGATAATGTGTCATCTGCAGTTTTCCTTTTATATAGCTTTCTTTTCTTGTTTCATAAATATAATATATTCTGTCTTTCTTCTGAGAATATCAAGTTGTTTTCTTTAAGTTTTCCCCCTTTACATTTTTCATATTTCTTGTTTCTTTCATTACTTCACAATTTTTCATATGGCTGTCCTCCATCCTCTTTCTCCTGACTGCAGCACAGCTCTGTAAGTGTTCTTTGCTTATTGGACCTCTGTCTTGGTCATGTGTGTATATTTAAGATTGGGTACTAAAAACATTCACAAAAGGGTTTTGTGTTACCAGAGCTGGCAACAGGGGAGGTTAGCATTCTGCACTCAGCTGAGATGGTTTTGTTTAGCATCCCTGAAGTTCCTGCAGCTCTTTCCTTTTGTCTTGGGCAGATGCTTCGGAAAGGGGTCTTCTGTCACCTGTTTTGAGGTGAGGGACCATTTGGAAGTGTGCTAGGAGCTGAGCTGCATTGGAGACAGATCCGTGGGTTATGGCATTGAGTTGTGCCCTTGTCTTTAGAACTCCACATAGCTAATAGACCTCTGTTTAGTCCTTCCTTACAACTCTCTAGTCTCCTGCCAAGTCAAAGAAGAAGGGAAGTGATATGGCATTTGCATGATCCTTAAACACACTACTACTGGCCCTCCTTCTGGTACTAACTTTACTGCATGTAAAGACAGCCCCCAGTCCTAAGCATAATGGAGTCGACTAAGAGTTGGCAGCAAGCATGTCCCAGATCTATCTAGTCTATTGCTCATCAGTCAACAAAAGGTTGCTGCTGGATATAACCTCTTTCTTCTCCATTCTGTTTTTGTTGTTGTTGTTGTTTTGTGGGGTTTATTGGTGTGTGTGTGTGTGTGTGTGTGTGTGTGTGTGTGTGTGTGTGTGTGTATTTTAGCTGGTCTTAAGGAGCAACCAAAAGAGAAAATATATCCTTAATTCCTTGGGCCCTCTTTATCTCCCAGTGTCTATGTGAAGTCCTCAAAATAAACTCTTAACAAAGGTGTTTGGAACACTTGCCCCAGGCCTCTGGCTTGGCTCTAGTCCTATGATCTGAGTTCTCTCAGGAGCTGGGTCACCTCCTTGTCCTTGTGGCAGTCATACTGGGACTATATGATTGACAGTTGCCTGACAGTCATACAGAGGGACATTTCCCAAGAGAAGGGAGTGAATGTAGCTGTGACAAGTCGCTGTGTCCCAAACTCAGGGTACCTTTGCCCTCCAGAAGATGAGGATCCTGAGGAGGAAAAGATTTTCTTCAGTTGTTTGGTGAGTGTGTGTGTGTGTGTGTGTGTGTGTGTGTGTGTGTGTGTGTGTTATGTATGTGGGTGCACACACACATTTATACACTGTATGCGTGTTTAAGTCTGAGGTTGATGTTACTCACTGACTTATTACTTGTGTGTGAGATGGGGTCTCTCATCATCCAGAGGCTCACCAACTAGTCTAGATTGGCTGGCCAGTGAGCTCCAGAGTTCTTCTTGTCTCCAGTTCCCCAGCTCTGTAGTCACAAATGTGCACCACTGCACCTGTTTTTTTATGTGGTTGCTAGGAGTCCAAACTTGGGTCCTTATGCTTGTGTGGCGAGCACTTGGGCATCTCCATCTTTCTATTATGATGAAAACATTGGCACCATTTCAGAAGCAATAGCAGAAGCATCTCCCCTGTTGTTTTCCTCCATTGTGTCCCCCAGCAACATCTGTCCCTGCTTAGTGCCCCTGAATCAAGTTCTTAACACCATCACCACTGATGAATAGGGACAGTCAGGCTCTGTCCCTGGAGAGGAAAGGAAGTGTTGGACGTAGAGGCTCACAGAAGTCTAGACACAGGACTTCGACGGTGTCTACAGAAAAGGACAAACGTAGTGTCATTCCTTGACTTGGGGACCAGAGACAACAGATGTGCCATTTGTTTTTCTTTGACAGTTGAAGTCCTGAAGGAAGGAGATGGAGTGTAGAGGTCTGATCTGTGCATCACTGTGTGATCACTCGAGTCCCTCAGTAATTTCAGTTGTATTGGACTCTGACATTCAAAGAAACACTGTCATCCCTTCTAAGTGTTTAAATCCCAGCTAAAAACAATACTTAAAGTTCCTTTTGCGGCCTCTGGCCACCCATGTCACAGGGAAGCTGCGTGGGGGACTGAGCCTTTGAAGGGCACTCTTAATGGCAAGCTTTGAATGAAGTCAACCCCCGGTAACTCAGCGACAGCTTCCATGTTACTGTCCTTTTCTTACTTAACAAGAACAAAAGGCCACAGCCAGGCCAACCAGTCATACAGGGTGGATCTCAGTGACATTTTTACTTCTGAACTTTTCTGATATAAAAGAGCCACCCAAGGAGGATCAGACAGCCAGCGTGAGGAATTTGACAATAAAAACTCATCTGTGCAGATCTCAGAAAATCCAAAATGATTAGGTAAAGTACTGCCTATTTCTGCCTAGAGAAATGTTGAATTTTTGTATTTTCTTAAATTTGTATTTGCTTATGTGCGACTTAACCAGAGATTCTGCCTTTTCTGCTCTTCAGCGCTGTAAAACTCAACCTCATCTTGGTTCTGTCGCTGTCCATGGTGCATACCTTTTGGTGTTACCCAGTTTTCTCTTCTAAGGTAAGGGTTTCACGGCTGTTTCTGATGGTCACATCAATGGTTGGGGTGGTGGAGTACCCAAATTCAAGAGAATCTCAAGAAATATATGACAAAAAAATCATTTATTTTATTTTTAGACCTTTAGGGGAAATGTAAACAGATTCATGAGATTAGTAGGACATAAATTTATATGAGACAGTAGATAATTCTGGGATGTAGTAATTTGTTGTGAATTATTTGATGGTTATGTCCTGCATGTGGAAATGGCAGTTCCAATATAAAATGTTCATATTTTGGCCCATGACAATTTATTTATTGCACATGCATGCACTCTTAATCATAGTAAATATTTTGCATTGAAATTGTACAAAAGCAAAACAAAACCCACAGTGGTCATTTTTCAGAAGCAGAAAATTTCCTAATTTTACCAAAATGTGTGCTCTTTTTCCATATGAAGAATGTAGGTAACATGTTAGATTCCAATAAAATATTGCCCAAAATATTTACTTATGTATTTATTCAAGAGTATTGGTGGAGGTCCTAACTATATTTCTGGAGCTGCTCAAGACATCCAGAAAAATGATCGCCTTTCTTTGGGGTATTTACGTCCCTTCTACAACATCTGTCCTTGTTTTTATGTCATTATCTTACAATATTAAAATATCTTTGGTTGTTGATGACACTGTGAACTTTAACCTTTCTTCACTAAAATTTAACCTGTCACGGTATGATTACTGAGCTCACTGTAATTTGAGGAACTAGTTTTAGGATAAAGAGAGGTCACAGAAATTCCAAATGACAACTCCCTCAAGCACCGTGATCTAGTTATTTATATAACTGTTCCTCTCATTGATCTCCACATCTGTCATTTTTCTATTTCCTGTTTACTGACTACAGCCTCTCTTCAGCCTTTCCCTCCTATGAGCATTCGACACTAATTTACTCATTGATCTTTTAAGACATGGCATTGATCAAGTGGGGGACTCACAAGCTGTAAATGGGCATATCTTCTCAAGTGTCTTCCTGTTGCTTTCTATTCCTTAGCCCTAAAGGTTTGCTCACAGCACTTCTGAACAAGAGGCACTTGTCCGTAGCCATTTTTAAATTAAGAATTCTTTCTTCTGAAGTATGCAGAGACCTCCTAGGCTGTAACGCAGTGTTTCTCTTTTTACTGTGCTGCCCGTATATTTCTAGCTTTGCTCGTGAGGATGCTGTTCTCGTTACAGCCCTGGCAGGCAGTAATGCTGTGGATGGTATTCATGGCAACCTGACTGTTTGGGGTGAGTGATGAGGTAGTCTAATCACATAGGATTTCATCTTCTTGTTTAGAGCTTCATGGAGCCCTTCAGCTAGGCAAGAGCACAGTGGTATCCTGATGATGGGTTGGCCCAGCTCCTTTCAGATCAGCCCAGTATGCTGAGGTCTTTTTAGGAATGTCTTAAGGGTCTCATAACCAGCGCTGGCACTTTTCTTTTGTGGGATAGAAGCATCATCATGAGCATTTCTGGAAAGAGTCAGTTGCTTCCTTTCTACAATGACGCATAGGTCCCTCCTGCTGGAGATTTAAAATAGGAAGCATTTATCTATCATGTTAACACAGGGGAAAACTCAGAATTTTTGATTGTTTTTTACCATAACCAATATTTATGAAACCATCTTTGACTATTCCCAGATCAAACAGAAAGCAACAACAACAACAACAACAACAACAACACACACACACACACACACACACACACACACACACACACACACAGAAACACAAAGAAAGACAGATAGAGGGGAGAGAGACAGAGAGAGAAAGACAGACAGACAGACAGACACACACATACACACACACATACACACACACATACACACACACACATATACACACACACACACACACACACACACACACACACACACACGCACACACACACACACAGAGTGTGTGTGGGGGAGAACATCCTCTTTCCCCAGGGGCCATTGGGAAGGTTTGCTTGGGAGCTCTGAGCACTGAAGACCAGTCATTCACCCTGCCAGGGCAAAGAGTTCCAGAGAGTTTGATGGATTGATTGCAAGCTTCATCCCAACACCCAAACAGAGTAATTCAAGGCAAACTTGTCTTCTACATCAAACAGCAAAAGGTGTAAGCTTTTGTGCGTTTTACTTCATGCTGTCTCTTCATTTCTAGTAAAATGTTTTAGCTCTTGTTTTACTGGAACTGAGAAACCAGGGCTTGGAGTCAGCAGCCGGTAAACAGCACCATCTGCAAGCATGTGGTCTCCTCACCGAGAACCAGGGAGCCAGTGGTGCTGGCTTCACACAGCTCTTTTCTTTGCAGGGAGGAGGCTCAGAAAGTGTGTCACTCAGAGAAGGGTGTACCAAGGTCACTGCTCTATCAAGGACAGGATTTGGTTAGCACCTTGCCAGTTATTAGACTTCTTTTGAAGCCATGAAAGGGAGAGGGAGCTGGCAAGTGTCAGCAGCTCCCACCAGAGCCCTGGATCAGTGCTGCCTCTAGGTCTCAGCAGCTGTGACCGGAGGTGGCCTTGGCTTTGGTGTTTGCCTCCTCATCCACACAGTGTGGGACTGGACTGCAGCTTCCCTGGGCCCCATTTGAGCTCCGGGGTTCTGGATCTGTTTATTCCACCACTCAACGCTCAAGCCGTATGATGTGCTATCCAGGCCTTGAGCCACGGTGAGGACCGGAACCGCAGCTGAAGGTGAAGATGTCAGGGTCACTCAATGGTACCCGCTTTTTGGAAACCTTAGTGGGCAGCCACAGACAACCCAGAAGGAAGTCCAGTGCTTTGACAAACCTAGAGTTGAGTCACACTGGATGAGTTTTGCCAGGGGGAGTTTCTTTTAGTTAATTTAATTTTAAAACTAGTTTATAAAGCAGCAGGCTTCCTTACATACTTAGGACAATAGAAACTTTTGCAAGAGGGTGTCATGCAGCCCAGGCTGGCCTAAAATTCATTCAATTTTAGTGAGGTTTTTTTTTTTTTTTAAGTTTTAAGTAGCCAAAAATGACCTTAAATTTTAAAAAAAATTAATGATTTATTTATTTTTATTTATGTCTGTATGAGGGTTGTGGGTACCCTGGAGTTACAGACAGTTGTGAGCTGCCATGTGGATGCTGGGAATTGTACCCAAGTCCTCCAGAAGAGCAGCCAGTGCTCTTAGCCACTGGGCCATCTCTCCAGCCCTGACCTTAAACTTCTTATCCCTTCCCTCCACCTTCCAAGTGCTGAGATTTCAAGTGTATACCCCCATACCCAGTTCATACAGTGCTGGGACTCGAACCAAGGACTTTGGGGATGCTAGCCAGAGCCCTACCTACTGAGCCATATTCCTAGCCCCTGAGGGAATTTTCAGTAGCATTCCCAGGGCTAATCAGAGCCTTCAAACATTCCTTATGAAATAATGGCAATGTGATCATTATGTGGACTATATACAGTGTAAATGCTGAATGTCAGAATAAAAAGACAAGCCACCTGTAACCCGGATGCTGTCTATGTCGAGTACATGTTGTGTTTCAGCAATATTTCTCACCATTAAGAAGGTGAGACATAGTGACTTCATAGTCGTAAAGGTTTTGAAAACTGTTGCTGTTGAAATAAACTTTTAACCCAGAAGCTGTATCCTCTCCCTCCTCCCCCATCTAAATCACCAGGTGACTGGGAAACCTGATTACTTTCTCATCCTACTGAGCAGCTGCCCAACCAGGCTGGAGGGGAGCGACGGACCAGCTTTTCTAAAGCCAATTTTGGAGAAGACATCGATGAAAAGGTCCTTTCGCAACGGAGTCGGCTCAGGGGTGAAAAAAACTTCATTTCGAAGAGCAAAGCAATGAATAAGTGTGCAAAGGACTCTGGGAATTAATCTCAAGCTATGTAGAGTGTGACTGATGTGCTAGAAAGCGGTTGTATCTTACCATGAGCTGTTGCTTCCCTCATCCTCAGACGAGGCCCTCTTATCCTAACCGACTCCGAGTAAATTAAGTTTTGGGGGAAAAAATGCAAACCTGTCTCAAACTTCCACCTGTGAGTGGAAAACGATTTCTGTGCTTAGCTAGTTACTTCCCCAACTGCAGAGGGACACGCTGGCTTTGATCTTGAGTTGGCCGCAATGCGTGGGCGTTTTTTACTGTCATATTTGTGTGATTCTTCTTTTGCTGTCTTGCTGTGCTGTAACACCAAATACAGTGATAGGTATATGCTATTTCTCCCTTAAAATACGATTTCCTCAAATGACTCAGCTGAGCCGATTCTTGCCGGTCGCACTGCTTCTGTTTCTAAGAGTCTCGTGGCATTCCAGCATGAAGATGAATGGTGCAGCTGGATCGACCAGTTGATTAATTGGTACCTGCAACAATTAACCCCCAGGGCCCTCTGGGTCTGTTCCCCACCCCCCTCTTTTTCTGATTCCAAATATATATAAAGATAACAGCTTGTTTTGTCTTGGAAATTTTGTTTTGTCTTGACTTTCAAAATCTTAAAACATGAGACACTGCCAATCATAATGGTGATACCAGAGAGCTCACTGGTGCTTGTGTGGTAGGGGGTACATTTCCCAAAACCTTCCTGTTGGATGATCCCCACCCCCACCCTTGCCGGATCAGGCCAAGCACTCTTCCATGAAGAGATGCTTAAAAATAAAAAGAAGAAGAAGGAGAAGAGGAGGAGGAGGGGGAGGAGGAGGAGGAAAGAAAAAAAGAAAGAAAGGGCAATGCAGGACTGGTGGCGGCTCAGTGGGTAAGATGCTGATGGATTTGGATCCCTGGAACCTATATTAAGATCCAGAGGCGGTAATGCGAGTTTGTAATCTCAGTGCCGGGAGGCAGAGGAGGGAGGATAACTGGAGCTTACTGGCCAGAGAGTCTAGCCAGATGTGAGAGCTCCAAGCTCAGTCAGAGACCCTGCCTCAAAAAATAAGGAGAGAGCAATAGAGGAAGAAGCCCGGTGTTGATTTCCTACCTCCATAAGGGCATGCATGCACATACACACATGTGTACACACACACACACACACACACACACACACACACACACACACATTCACAGAGCGATGGAGCAGGCAGACATTGGTTGAGGATGAGGAGTTGCTTCTGAAGTGTCCACACACACACACACACACACACACATACACACACACACACACACACACACACACACACACACACACACACACACATTCACAGAGCGATGGAGCAGGCAGACATTGGTTGAGGATGAGAAGTTGCTTCCGAAGTGTAAAGAGAATGAGCATGTTCGCACATGTCAGACTCTGGAACCCACTGCACGTGTTCTCTGAGTGCTTCACACAGGTTTCACACGGCCAGCTTTGAAAGTCAAAGAAGGACCCTGTCTTTGGTCACCAGCTTCAGATAGAAAACAGTCTTCAGGAATCGGAGCTCACAGTGAGCGGGTCCCACAGTGGCCAGGCAGGTCTGCTCAACCAGCTGTCCACAAGTGCAGCAGCCTCCAGACTGGAGAAGGGTCTAAGAATTGGCCTGAAAACAGCAGACTTTGCAAGGCTCTCTGGTGCTTGGCCGTGCTTGTTGTACAAGCAAGCAACTCCCTGGTTTGTGTGTGTTCACTTTACTCTTGCTGTCCAGAGACACAGGAAGTAGTTCAGATTGGAGTGACATGACGATGTGTTCGCCTGCTAAGGGGCTTTTCAGGTTCTAGGAACCTCAAGGAGACACATTTGAGAAGCACAGAGGGAACATCCGAGAATGGAAGGTCTTGTGTGCTGCTGTGTGTACCCACCTGAGACCAACTGTCCCTTGTTTCTTCCCAGTGGCTGTCCCTTCTTGTGGACCCAATGGTGTGAAGACTGTGCTCTCCTGTGATGTCTATCTGCCCCAAGCTTCGCATCACTCTGTGACCTCCCCACTCCAGTGCCTAATACCTGGGCCTTCTCCTTTGCGTTCCTTTTGGTCAGGTATCCATTGCTGGTCCCGTCCACAGAGCCAGCTGGGCAGGGTCCCCTATCAAAGGGCTGTGCCAGGGCAGACCCAGAGAAAGACTACTGGGGAGGAGGATGACATCACACATACCATGATACTGGGTGTGCTCTCCCTTGGTTCCTTGGATGGAAAAGGAAACCTTCACCTTCTGGGCTGTGGTTTTGATTAACACACATTACATATTGTAACAGGGGACATATGGAGTTTCTGATCGTTTGAAACAATTAGCTCTAGATTAATTTTTATTTCTGTGTAAGTGTCTGCCTCTGCCTGTGGAGTGTGCGTCTGAGTGAGGGTGGCTACAAGGCTAGAGAGGACGCCAGACCTCCTGCAGCTGGAGTTAGAGACCTTTGTGAGCCAGTGTAGGTTCTGGGAGCCAAACTCTGGTTCTCTGCAAGAGCAGTAAGTGCTTACTCTAGCCTCAATTTGGAAATATTCTTAGAAAATCTACACTCTTTCTAAGGTCCCCACCCACTCATTATTTCTGTCCCCCTAAAGACACATATACATACAAACACTCATACACATGCTGGAGAGCTTACACACAAACATATATACCACATGCACATACAAATACCACATGCGTGTACACATATCTCATATATACACACACTACACACATACCACATACACACACACACACACACCCCACATGCACATTTACATCACATACATACCCACATATACACCACACACATGCATACACACACAAACACACACATATGCAGTTGATGTGACCCATCTTCAAGGGCACAGCTTTGGGACCTGCTTTAGGAAGGCTTCTGCCTTCCACCTTATGGTCATGACCTCTGATCATCCCCATGACAAGGAAGGGCAGTGCAGGGAGTGATAATGAAACACAGAGCTGACAAACACAAGATTGGTCGTCTAGCTGACTGCTCACCTGCCCACGAGCCTGGAGCTCACTCAGTCACAACCACAGTGGTGTCCATAGTTTCCCCGGGGCCTTCCTCCAGCCAGCAACTGTGTGAAAGTAGCACCAGCCCATGACTGGCTCTTCAGCCCTTCAGCTGCCATTTCTGCTCTCAGAATACCTGAGGTGGAAGGCAGAAGCCTTCCTAAAGGTGTTGAAAGGAGACATTAGCCTGAGGCATGGAAGGACTTGGTGTGTGCCCGTGGTACCATCTCCCCTCTTCACCATTTGAATTGGGTTCCCTTCCCTCTAAGGGTCCTGGAATGCACTGAAACCGTTGAGATTTTTAAAATATTTTAAAACAATAAACAAAGCCTTCAAAGTGGATGCAGCCCTCCTAGTTTACTGTCAGTGGGTACGGTGGGAAGGAAGGAGTCCGGGTGCAGCCAGGATTGACCGCCCTTTGCCCTTTGTTTTCTGTTACTGAGTCTGAGGCAGTGGCTTCAGAAATCTAAAGCCCCAGGCAGTGACAGCTCTACTCTCAGAACATCCACACAGCCAGAGATCTGCCTTCAGTGGCGGTCAGAGGCTCTGCGGCACCCGGAGTCCTGACGGTCACCATGGTAAGCACTTCCAGTAAAATGTAGAAAGCCTGGCTGGAGTGTGTCAGGGAGCTGGGTGCTTCGTGTCTTCCCAGAATTATTGATGGAGAAGTTAACGAGATGACCTCATGGCTGATATTTACAGCCTAATGGCAGGAAGCAGATTGCTGCATCCATGTGTGGTGTGAATGAGGCTCCTTGTGTGAGAGAAAGGTGAGACTGCTCCAGGGAAGAGTCTACCCAACTCTCTACTGTTCCCATTAATGTGGGTGGAACAATAAAATCACCCAAAACATAACTGGAAATTTTCCCTTGCCACTTCTGAACGTAAAATATTTAAACCTTGGAGAAGGGGGAATCTATAAAAAAAAGTTTACTATCAAAGGACCAGAGGAGATTGCACATGGGCAGACAGGGAGGTTCTCTTTTGGGAGAAAAGTTATACACTTCTTTCCCACATTCCTGGAATGAAGTGTTTTCAACAAAACAATATTTTGAGTTACCAAAGAGGTGGCTGAGGAAGGTCACTTAAACCCTTGGGGAATGTGAGCCTGACACAGTCAACTGGTTTTGGTCACTGAGGCATGCAAGGCCACTACTCTAAAAGCTGTGTGGCTGGTGTGACGGGGTGGAGATGATAAGGTACTGGTGACCCTTCACCCTCATCACCAAGGGTGTTGGTAGAGGTCAGCATTTTGTTTGTCTAGCTAGAGGCTCTGGAAGCCCTTGAGACATAAACATCCCACAAGATGAATGAATTGTTATGTATTTCCTTCTGACTTACCTGAACAGGATTGAGTTTCATGTTCTACTGGAGAATTTTAGTGGCTTGGAAGAACAAGAGCCAGAGGGAGCGACAGGTATCTGCCGAGAGAGGATGCTAATGTGGAGGAGTTAAGCATAAAGCTGACAAGGAAGGCAGAAGAGCCAAGAACCCCTGACCTCAGGCTGCCCTCAAAGCCCATGGCCACAGGTCCTCGGTTTTCCCACATCACCCAAGCTTCTAGAATTCTTCTAACACTGAGCTTCCCCAGCACAAGTCAGAGCTCATATCACAAATCTTACCAGGTTGTTTTTCATTTACTGATAATTCATGTGCTCAAAAACATTTGCTGAGCTTGTACTGTACTCAGACACAGTGTTCCAGACACTGGGAATGCAGAGGTGAAGAAAATAAAAAAAAACCTCTTAGACAAAATGGAGATGTATGTAACATACACATAAGATAGCATAGAGCAAGGTGCTCCCTGTAAAACAGACCAACTGGCAGGAATCAGTCAGGGAAATTAATATTTATTATGTATCTAGCATTACTGGTAGGGAAACTAATGCAATAGATTAGTAGATCTTATTTAACATGTACATATATGTAGATTATATTCAATGCATATAAGAAATAGCACATGTATTCAGATAGTGTGTACATGTGTATATATATATATATATATATATATATATATGATTATTTTCAATTATGTAGATGTAGGTAGTATCTTAGATGATGGTAAAAAGGAGCAGTGGGGTTGACAGAGGGAGGATTATATTCAGTACATACAAGAAATAGTACATGTATTCAGATAGCGTGTATATGTATATATATATGATTATTTTTAATTTTGTAGATGTAGGTAGTATCTTAGATGATGGTAAAAAGGAGCAGTGGGGTTGACAGAAGGAGGATTATATTCAGTACACACAAGAAATAGCACATGTATTCA